AATTATAACACACACATTGTGACCCATTGACTTTTTCTGATCCACAAGATTCATTCTTCAGGTTTTCTATAGGTAGAAATAATATGAGCCATACTTGGGTCCCGATTCTGACAACCTGAACCTTAAAGAAATGATACAAGGGGAAAGTTTCAATTATTTAAAAGTAGAATCAACAAAACCTAGGAGACTTCAAAGGTCATGTAATCCAATATCCCACTCAATGCCCGAATCCCTTCTTACAGTATACTATCACATGTGGACCTATCTGGGCCATTTGACTCAAGCCCCTCACATGAGAGCAGGCCCCAAACTACCCTTTCACATGCAGTCTTAGTCCTGAACCACCGGCCAGATTTGCTCCATTTGCCTGTACCAAACAGCTCCCAGCTGCCTCATCTTTTGGTCTTGTTACTCATTGATCCCTATTTATGAGCTTGGTTTGTCCTTTGGGTCTGACATTCCATCCAGATAAGAGCAGGTTGTAGTGAACTGTAATCAAGTTGGTGAGTCAAAGTCCAGGCCAGATAAGGACAGACCTCCTACTTTTCTCAAGTTGACCTCCCTTTTTGAGTTTTTATCCATAGAAACCTAGCTCTGTCTTCCCTGATCTTTTCTAGGTCACCTTCTTGATGTCAGTCTGACTGTGCTTGTCTCCTAACAGTGTCGCTTTTTCCTGATGCTCCCATCCTTTCTCAGCCTTTAATCAGCTCTTCTGGACTGAACAGGATTCAGTTCACAGTAGCATCCTTCCTGTCCTCAAGAGGCAGGTGAGGTCTTGGTACCCAAGCATTGAGTCCCTACACCAGAGGCATCGGGTGGGATTCGGGGATCTGAACTTTAATAAGCATTACAAGAGATTCTGCTGCAGGTGATCAGAGACCTAACTTGGAAAAACATTGATGGGAATTTTGGTGTCAGAGTACTCTGGAGTTCAAGTCCTGTCTCTGCATCTCACCAGTCATACAACCTTGGGGAAATTGTTGATCTGTATTGGCTTCAGTTTCCTCATTTTTAATAGGCCGATGATAAAAACCCATCTCTGAGATTTAGAACTACAAAATGATGTTCTATAAAGTGCTTCATATAATTCAAGGCAGGTTAGTAAGCCCTCATTAATGTGAGCTAGCATTGCTATTAGTATAATTGCTTTCTTTATCTTTAGGATAGGAATTATTAGAAGATAACTGTTTATCACACGTCCTTCATAGCTGGCTGAGATTTTTAATTGATGCCTGTGAGTTCTTCTGATCACCCTGTGATTTTCCTCTGCGTGAGTTTTGTCATTCCTATTGGTAGTTGATTACCATTTCCATGCATAGCCATGGGCCTTGTATTTAGTAGGGAATCAAAATTTGCTGAATATTTTTAAATGAGCACATGCCATCTGGCCAGGCCCTCTGTGCTCTACTCTCCCTGCAATATCACACATCTGTTCGTCTTCCCTCTCCAATTGTTCTCCAAGGATCCTTTTGTCATATAGACCTGGTTGGGTTCCTTCCTGGCCTGACCTGTCCCAGTTCCCCATTTTATGTGAAGAGTGCCATCCCATGGGATCTCAATGATGCCTTCTTTACATTAAAACTTCAGATTCACTTAATCATATAGCATTTGCATTGTGCACATATAGAATGTTAGAAGGGAGAGATAATGAGAGCCAAGGCTGGTGACTTGAGAGTAAGGGTTGGGGTGGTGGGTGGGGGGGCGGGGGGAGAACGTGGCTTTGATGATCCATAAGGAATAGGCAACCACATTCCCTTTCACAGAAGTGTTCAGTTGAATTTTTGGTTTTGTTCATTCCGGTGCTCTACAGTTTTGAAAAATTTCATTTAATTCAGGACTTGGCAAAGAGTATCAAAAGAATAATTCAGAAGACATTGTCACAGAGTTAAGAGACAGTTGAACCTGCTCTGTGGATAAGTTCCATTTGAAGTCCTCGATCAGTGAATAAGTGCAGGTAACAGCCACACAGAGAACATGCATGTAACTACAGCTGTCCCTTGCTATCTGGAGGGAGGCAATTGGTGTGGACACTGAACCTACAGATGCCCCAGCCCCTTATATAAAATGGCACAGTACTTGCAAGTAACCTAGCAATCCTCCCGTGTACTTTAAGTCATCTCTAGATGACTTATAATACCTAGTATAATAAAAACAAGCTGTAAATAGTTCTTACACTGTATTGATTAGGAAACAATGACAAAGAGGTCTATATTTTCAGAACAGACCCAATTTTTTTTTTTTTTTTGCATATTTCCAATCTGTGATTGATTGAATCCATGTATATGGAAACTGTGGTTCTGGAAAGTCGACCATCATGGGGTTCCAGTGTTCAGAGTTTGAAGGCAGTAATAGAGCATGGGGTTGGAAGCAAAGGAGTGTTTTTTTTTGGGGGGGGGCATCTCTGCCATTTATAGGTTGTATGTGACCCTGGGCAAGTCACTTGAGCTCCCTGAGCCTCAGTTTCCTCCTCTGTAGAATGAGAGTAATACTCAGATTTTACTTCCCAGGGTTGCTCTGATAATTATATGTTAAGCACGAAGCATGAAGCCTGGGACGTAGTTAGCCCAGGACTGTTACTGTTTTAGTCAGCTTTTTCATTGCTGTGACCAAAACCCCCAAGAAGAACAACTGAGAGGAGGAGAAGTTCACTTGGGGATCATGGTTTCAGAGTTCTCAGTCCACAGATGACCAACTCCACGGCCTGAGGTGAGGGAGCACATCTTGGGGGAAGGGCCAAGCAGAGGAAAGCTGCTCAGCTCCTGATGGGGTTCAGAAGCAGAGGGGCAGGGACAAAGGGGCTGCAGAGCAGATGCAACCTTCCAGGACATGCCCCCCAGTGACTCACCTCCTCCAGCCATGCCCCAGCAACCCACAGCTCCCACCGAGTCAGTCCAATCATGAGGATGGACTGATTCGGTCACAGCTCCCATAATCCAATATTTTTACCTCTGAATATTCTTGCAATTAATAGCAGCTTTGTGGTGGGGGGACACCTCATATCCATAACAATATTGTCCACTGTTCCCTTCCCCTGTGGCTTTGGTGCTGCTTATAACCAGTGGAAGGGGAGAGAATGCCTTTCCGATTCTGGTTCCTCTCTGCTTTTGACACCCTCTTTCTCTGGTGTCCTCTTATCTGTTGGTTCATATCAGACTGGTCACTTCCTTGTAGCTGAGCCAACATACTAATTGCAGGGAGTTCATGGCCACTCTATCTACAGTTTCTCAAAGTTCAGCCGTGAAGGTACATTGACTTCCTGGCTTCCCATTCATTCACTATCACCTGAGTTCCTAATTGCTATTGCCTAACCAGGTGTGTGCTCGCCTCTCAGGAGGTGCATTTCTCTGCAGGGTAAATATAATTGCATAGAACATAAGCATGATTTCCGGGAATAGCTTCCCCCCAATCCCATATTTTGTAGAGGGAAGTTTCATGGCTCAACGAATTCCAGTCTTCTCAATCATTAGATCCCTTTGAAATGCTTTAGAAAAATACAGCTTCCAGGTCTCCCTCCTAGTTCTTTTAAATTGAAGTCTTAGTGGCTATGAACCTCTGGAATAAAATAAAAAACTAGGATTAGGTGCAGAAATAGTACAATTTCTGAGATGAATTGTTGCCTAGTCAACTGATGGCCGTTGCATCCAAGTGGCCTCTCTCTTTTTCACGTGGGGTAGAGCAGAAGAAAACTTAAGATTTTCAGTTTCCTGCTTCCTGATTCTCTCAGGAATGCTGCAGACCCCACCTACGATGGCTTTAGGCTTCTGAGAGGCTTCATCTCCTTCAAGTTCAATCGTGACTGCTCTCACAACAGTGCTTTCCAGCCTTCCCTGTAAAACCCCTCTGGAGTGTGCACTGGCTCCAATCAGTGCCCTGCACTAGGGGTATAAGGATTGAGCCTTCAACTTGTACTTCATTTGCTTCAGTGACCTAAGACTCCATGAGAAGGTGGAAGTTTATATTCAAACGGGGTGAGTCAGCTCAGCCATTGGGAAGAAGAGGTGGCAGAAAAACAGGAAGAGTCTGTTGTATTCTGCTGCCTTTCCTATCCTCTACTATCCCCCCTCCCCTCCCCTCCCCAGCAGAATACAACAGACACTAGTATGGCAATATGTAAATCAATGGATGTGTAACTGATGTGATTCTGCAATCTGTATATGGGGTAAAAATGGGAGCTCATAACCCACTTGAATCAAATTGTGAAATATGATATATCAAGAACTATGTAATGTTTTGAACAGCCAACAATAAAAAATTAAAAAAAAAAATAAAAAAAAAAAAAAAAGAAGAGATGAAAATGAAAAAAAAAAAAACCAGGAAGAGGAACAAGAGGATTCCTATTTAAGTTACATGGGCGGGGGGCAATCCTAAAGCACATGAATTGTACTCTCTGTGAAGGCTCAGAATGGCTGAGAGAACGAGGTATCACATTAGTGGCCTTGTGTGTGTTCCTGACTCCCACTTACTCTGATAGGGGAGCCCTCCTTCACACGTTGTGTTCCTGAAGAGTTATGTGCAAACAGCTTCTGCAAACTGGATCTGCTAAGGGCTGCTATCTTCTCCCACTTGGCTTTCTTTCTGTTGGCAGCAGCTCTGAACACCCGAGCTCTTAGTGCCTCTCTCTTGCATCTGTCAACAGGCAACTCTGTAAGTGGATTCTGAAGGGCCCTCCCTTTTTCCTGGTGGAGAGGGGACGCACCATCTCCTCGGTGCCTCGTAACAGTTGCATGAATCGGTTTTCATCACATGATGTTTTGTGTTTCGAATGCTCCTCAGGTGGTTCGGCACCCTGATTTTTTTTCTTCCCACTCACCCAGCCTCACCCCACAGCACGCACGCACATTGTAGAAAAATGACAGGGAGACATTCAAAAGACAAAAGGAGGAAGTTCTATGAAAGATGAGCTAGAGCTCGATTTTGAATTTTGCTTCTTCAAGACAAGGAAGTTGTGTTGGGTGCTGCCACAGTCTGGCTGGGCACACAATCACGAGCCACCACACAGCTTGTAGATTCAAACAGCAGCTCTTTATTCCCGAACTCACACCAGCCGTCTACAATCACGTTCTGGGGAAATCCACGTTCTCTGCCCAAATCCACCCCCACTGGGCTTCTATCTCCCAAAAAATACTGTCTGAATCCTGTGAGAACTCAAGGGGAACTCAGGCAGCAGGATACGCCCTATTCCCAGCAGGAGTAACCTTAAACCTGGAACCACCCTAAACCGGGATAGTCCTAAACCAGGAACGCCCTAAACCCAGATTATTCTAAACCGGGAACACCCTAAACCCGGATCCGCCTTGGTCCTTGAGCAAGGTCACCTACATGCAATGTCACTGCAAAATGTCCTTCCACTAAGCAACATGGGGTACGCTGGCAAGGAAATTGTCATACCTACTTGGCTAATGGCTCCCAGCAGGGTGCTCCTGTGTGGCCTTGTACCATATTCCTGTAGCATCATCTGGAATGTGTTGCTGGCCTGGGAGAAGGAGGGAGAAAGATTCAGGCAGGATGGGAGAAGGAGAAGGGTGTGTGATACACACAGGAGTGTCTTTCCATCACAGCACTGGTGACGTTCGGGGGCCAGATGACTCTTTGTTGTAGGAGATGGTTCTGTGCATCCTGGGGTGTTAAGCAGCATCTATGACTTCTATCCAGTAGATGCCAATAGCATCTTCCCTCCCAGAAAAGATGTCCACAGACATTGCTAAATGTCTCTCGGGGGGCACAGTTGCCTCCGGTTAAGGATCAACACATGCTGTTGAGCTTGCATTGGTCTGAATCTGTCCATGGAAGAACTTGTCTTAACCATTCCTCTGGTGTTTCTTAGATATTTCCTTCTAATAACTAGCCTTTCCTTGGCCTGTCTTTAACTGTGTGGTCCTGGAAGGCCATTCTGCTTCCTCACACCTCCAGTGACTTGGGTCTGTGCCTAGAGTCAGCGTCCTAGGGCCCTGCCAGGATCCATCAAGATACTGGTTGGGTAAAATGTATTGAGTGTCGACGTGCAAGCCAGGTCTGCTGCAGGAACTCCAATGAGAGCCATGAGGTCTCTGTCATAAGGAAGCTCACCACCCTGCAGCAGGAGGCACTGTTGAGGGAAGGTTTCTAAATTATGAGAACCAGGAGACACATTTTGAATCCCTCTTCAAATCTTTCCTCTCACAAAGAGAGACTGAGGTCAGGGTGAGCATGGGACTCACCTGTTGATGTCCCATGTCCAGGCAGAGATGGGATTGGAGGGCTGTGTGGATGATAGAGTGGGTTCTCTCTGGTACTTTCGCTGTCTCTCTAACTTTAGAATACTAGTGACCTAGGGCGGTGGTGAGACAGGCCCAGAGGGCAGAGTGTCAAGGTCCTCAGTGGGAGGAGGGTCTCCATAAGGATGAGTGGGCTATAGATAAGTGGGAGGTGGCTAGAGAAGGAGCCCTAAAGGAGGGATAGGATCCAAAAGGTGAAATTGGGCACCGGCATGGCAGGAGGTGACAGAGAAACAGTGGCAGGAGCTGGAGTTGTAGCTCAGCGGAAGAGCAAGGCCCTGTGTTCAATGCCCAGCACTGCAAAAACAACAGCACCAACAACGGTGGCACGAAGTTTGGAAAACAGGGACACCAGGGAAGAGCAATCCGATGGGTCGGAGAACAAGCTGGCAGAAGGAAGCGATAGGAAGGAAGGGAAGCTGGAAATCGGGGACCGTTAAATTAAAATGCTCACTAATGAGAAATAAAAAGTGTGAAAAAGCATTTTAAGCTAAAACAGTATTTTGTTTCTTTGTCACATCCCCTTCGTTGTCCATTTGGGTTGTTTCACATGTGCATGCATCCATAGGAGCAGTGAGTGCTGGGTGCTGGGTTAGGCCATGAGTGCTGGGTGCTGGGTTAGACGATGAGTGCTAGGCGCTGGGTTAGACCATGAATTGTTGACCATGGAGATTCTTCACTTCCCACCCCTGTGTCATTTCTCTCCCAGATCGTCCTGGACTTCCATGGGCGCTGCTGAGTCTTGGATGCCCAGGCTCTCTGGATGATTGGCAACCGGAATGAGTTAGCCTAGAGATGTTCAGACCGCCTTTCTATAACCACAGAAGAGGTGTCAACCGCAGATAGATCCTTGGAGCAAACAGAGATCTGCTCAGAAGAGCTTTTGAATAAATGAAGTTGCTCTGAAGGGCCTTGGTGTTGAAGTGACTTGTCACCAAAAAAAAAAAAAAAAAAAAAAGGATATATTAGAGGGCTGGGTGCCGGAGAAGCACCTGCAGCATCAGGATTTTCGGCGTGACACACCTGTCCTCTGGGGCTTGCGTTGCTAGCCTCCAGCTTACCGTGTGAAAAAGATACAACATGCTTGTTTGTGCTTAGTGTGCGTGTGTGTGTGCTTCTCTGGTCTGTGGCTGTTTAACTTCCCACATGTGCCTGTCCTCCTTTGTGAGCAGACCTATTGTCTTCTTGGAGGTCACACTGTCTCCACCGTCTCTCCCACTCCAGGCTGGGGTGTAGACTGCTGTGCTGGAGTCAACTGCAGTCCCTGGGGTCGGGGAGGGGAGAGCTTGGAGGGGTGTGAGATCAGGGAGGGGGTAGTTGGTAGTTATTTTTTTTAGTCATACATGACAGAATGTGTGTGGGTGCTGACATGGGCCCCCACGGTGGGATTTCTACGTCTGTCAGCACCAAGGGCTGAGTGGGTTGGGCTGCCCAGGCTGGGGGCCTGCTATCAATGGTGGGAATGGAGCTACCCCTGGACCTGGAGATCCCAGGTGTCCAAACTACTGACAGCTGGCAGAGGTGGGGGCTCTGGGCTTCTTCCTGTCAGAAACCCCAGGTGGGATGGTGGCTCCAGGGATGAGGGGCTTCTTCCCTCGGGGAGCGTGTTTAGGTACCTTTCAAGACGGCAGACTGAGGAATCAGACCAGAGACTCTGCGTCTAATAGAAGATAAAGTTGGTCCTCATCTTCATCTCGTGGGGGCAGGCCCCAAATTCCTTAATAAGACTCCTATAGCACAAGAGTTAAAACCAAGAATCAACAAATGGGACGAATTCAAACTGAAAAAGTTTTTTCTCAGCAAGAGAAATAATATGCGAGGTGAATAGGGAGCCTACATCCTGGGAACCAATTTTTACCCCTCAAACATCAGATAGAGCTCTAATCTCTAGAGTGTACAAAGAACTCAAAAAGTTAAACAACAAAAAAGCAGATAACCCAATCAACAAATGGGCCAAGGACTTGGACAGAAACTTCTCAGAAGAGGACACACCATCAATTAACAAATACATGAAAAAATGCTCACCATCTCTAGCAATCAGAGAAATGCAAATCAAAACCACCCTAAGATACCATCTCACTCCAGTCAGAAAGGCAGCCATTATGAAGTCAAACAACAATAAGTGCTGGCGAGGATGGGGGGGGGCGGGTAAGGTACACTCATACATTGCTGGTGGGACTGCAAATTGGTGCAGCCAATTTGGAAAGCAGTATGGAGATTCCTTGGAAAGCTGGGAATGGAACCACCATTTGACCCAGCTATTCTCCTTCTTGGATTATACCCAAAAGACCTAAGAAGAGCATACTACAGGGACACAGCCACATCAATGTTTACAGCAGCACAATTCACAATAGCTAGAATGTGGAACCAACCTAGATGCCCTTTAATAGATGAATGGATTAAAAAATGTGGCATTTATACACAATGAAATATTACTCAGCACTAAAAAATAACAAGATCATGGCATTTGCAGGGAAATGGATGGCAAAGAAGGCCCAGTGTCAGAAGGTGGCTGTAGGCAGAGCGGGACAGCCGTTGCCAAGGAAGAAATGCTCATCCATGGGGAATACGGGTAGGCCACAGGAATGAAAGTTTCCTTTGCCGTCACATCAATAGGGGGACCTCTGAGGCTGCCACCACTTCTGGAACTGGCCTGTCCAGTCACCACTGAGGACCTGAACTGGGAGAAACAGAAAGCTCCGCAGCACATCCACTGCCTTCTGATGGGTGAGTCCCAGGCCATCTGGGACAGCTATACCATGCCCCCCAACCCCAGCCCATGTGTGCGCCCCTCTACCTGGGGAGGGGCCAAGCCTCTGGCATCAGTGGGCCTCAGCCAGACCTTGCCTTACCACCCCAGCACTGCCTCCCCGCCCAAAGTGGGTGGGCGCTGCTCTCTCCTCCCAGAGACACCCTCCTACCTCCAAACTTTGTGTCCCCCTCTTCCACAGCCTGCCAACTGTTCCTTGGCCCTTCCTCCCAGGCCCTCTCCCAGCACCTTGGCAGGCTTGGCTCTGCAGCCAGGGGCTCCCTTGGGGGCCACCCTCATGAACACCATTATGACTTCACAGTCCCCCTTCCCCCACATCTGGGGCCTCCATCTGACTCCAGTAGGAACTTCCTACTCTCTCACCAGGGCCCAAAGCCCAACAGTACTCACAGGGCCTCAGCAGTAGACAGCTCCAGTCTGCCACCTTTTTTTTAAATTTTTATTTTTTTTAGTCATACATGACAGAATGTGTGTGGATGCGGACATGGGCCCCCACGGTGGGATTTCTACGTCTGTCAGCACCAAGGGCTGAGTGGGTTGGGCTGCCCAGGCTGGGGGCCTGCTATCAATGGTGGGAATGGAGCTACCCCTGGACCTGGAGATCCCAGGTGTCCAAACTACTGACAGCTGGCAGAGGTGGGGGCTCTGGGCTTCTTCCTGTCAGAAACCCCAGGTGGGATGGTGGCTCCAGGGATGAGGGGCTTCTTCCCTCGGGGAGCGTGTTTAGGTACCTTTCAAGACGGCAGACTGAGGAATCAGACCAGAGACTCTGCGTCTAATAGAAGATAAAGTTGGTCCTCATCTTCATCTCGTGGGGGCAGGCCCCAAATTCCTTCATAAGACTCCTATAGCACAAGAGTTAAAACCAAGAATCAACAAATGGGACGAATTCAAACTGAAAAAGTTTTTTCTCAGCAAGAGAAATAATATGCGAGGTGAATAGGGAGCCTACATCCTGGGAACCAATTTTTACCCCTCAAACATCAGATAGAGCTCTAATCTCTAGAGTGTACAAAGAACTCAAAAAGTTAAACAACAAAAAAGCAGATAACCCAATCAACAAATGGGCCAAGGACTTGGACAGAAACTTCTCAGAAGAGGACACACCATCAATTAACAAATACATGAAAAAATGCTCACCATCTCTAGCAATCAGAGAAATGCAAATCAAAACCACCCTAAGATACCATCTCACTCCAGTCAGAAAGGCAGCCATTATGAAGTCAAACAACAATAAGTGCTGGCGAGGATGGGGGGGGGCGGGTAAGGTACACTCATACATTGCTGGTGGGACTGCAAATTGGTGCAGCCAATTTGGAAAGCAGTATGGAGATTCCTTGGAAAGCTGGGAATGGAACCACCATTTGACCCAGCTATTCTCCTTCTTGGATTATACCCAAAAGACCTAAGAAGAGCATACTACAGGGACACAGCCACATCAATGTTTACAGCAGCACAATTCACAATAGCTAGAATGTGGAACCAACCTAGATGCCCTTTAAGAGATGAATGGATTAAAAAATGTGGCATTTATACACAATGAAATATTACTCAGCACTAAAAAATAACAAGATCATGGCATTTGCAGGGAAATGGATGGCAAAGAAGGCCCAGTGTGAGAAGGTGGCTGTAGGCAGAGCGGGACAGCCGTTGCCAAGGAAGAAATGCTCATCCATGGGGAATACGGGTAGGCCACAGGAATGAAAGTTTCCTTTGCCGTCACATCAATAGGGGGACCTCTGAGGCTGCCACCACTTCTGGAACTGGCCTGTCCAGTCACCACTGAGGACCTGAACTGGGAGAAACAGAAAGCTCCGCAGCACATCCACTGCCTTCTGATGGGTGAGTCCCAGGCCATCTGGGACAGCTATACCATGCCCCCCAACCCCAGCCCATGTGTGCGCCCCTCTACCTGGGGAGGGGCCAAGCCTCTGGCATCAGTGGGCCTCAGCCAGACCTTGCCTTACCACCCCAGCACTGCCTCCCCGCCCAAAGTGGGTGGGCGCTGCTCTCTCCTCCCAGAGACACCCTCCTACCTCCAAACTTTGTGTCCCCCTCTTCCACAGCCTGCCAACTGTTCCTTGGCCCTTCCTCCCAGGCCCTCTCCCAGCACCTTGGCAGGCTTGGCTCTGCAGCCAGGGGCTCCCTTGGGGGCCACCCTCATGAACACCATTATGACTTCACAGTCCCCCTTCCCCCACATCTGGGGCCTCCATCTGACTCCAGTAGGAACTTCCTACTCTCTCACCAGGGCCCAAAGCCCAACAGTACTCACAGGGCCTCAGCAGTAGACAGCTCCAGTCTGCCACCTTTTTTTTTAATTTTTACTTATTTTTTTTAGTCATACATGACAGAATGTGTGTGGGTGCTGACATGGGCCCCCACGGTGGGATTTCTACGTCTGTCAGCACCAAGGGCTGAGTGGGTTGGGCTGCCCAGGCTGGGGGCCTGCTATCAATGGTGGGAATGGAGCTACCCCTGGACCTGGAGATCCCAGGTGTCCAAACTACTGACAGCTGGCAGAGGTGGGGGCTCTGGGCTTCTTCCTGTCAGAAACCCCAGGTGGGATGGTGGATCCAGGGATGAGGGGCTTCTTCCCTCGGGGAGCGTGTTTAGGTACCTTTCAAGACGGCAGACTGAGGAATCAGACCAGAGACTCTGCGTCTAATAGAAGATAAAGTTGGTCCTCATCTTCATCTCGTGGGGGCAGGCCCCAAATTCCTTAATAAGACTCCTATAGCACAAGAGTTAAAACCAAGAATCAACAAATGGGACGAATTCAAACTGAAAAAGTTTTTTCTCAGCAAGAGAAATAATATGCGAGGTGAATAGGGAGCCTACATCCTGGGAACCAATTTTTACCCCTCAAACATCAGATAGAGCTCTAATCTCTAGAGTGTACAAAGAACTCAAAAACTTAAACAACAAAAAAGCAGATAACCCAATCAACAAATGGGCCAAGGACTTGGACAGAAACTTCTCAGAAGAGGACACACCATCAATTAACAAATACATGAAAAAATGCTCACCATCTCTAGCAATCAGAGAAATGCAAATCAAAACCACCCTAAGATACCATCTCACTCCAGTCAGAAAGGCAGCCATTATGAAGTCAAACAACAATAAGTGCTGGCGAGGATGGGGGGGGGGGCGGGTAAGGTACACTCATACATTGCTGGTGGGACTGCAAATTGGTGCAGCCAATTTGGAAAGCAGTATGGAGATTCCTTGGAAAGCTGGGAATGGAACCACCATTTGACCCAGCTATTCTCCTTCTTGGATTATACCCAAAAGACCTAAGAAGAGCATACTACAGGGACACAGCCACATCAATGTTTACAGCAGCACAATTCACAATTAACTCAGTTTCATCAGATATGACCTCATAGCCTTTCTGTATTCATCCCCTAAGATTGAATGTTTCTCATTCCCTTAGCTAGGCAGTTGGAGTGTTAGTGGTTAACTTGGCTTCTACTTGCCCCACAGCAATATCTTCTTGGCCACACTGGCAGTTCCCCCTAGTGAAAAGCATTCAAATATGCATTTAAAATTCCTTGTAGTAGTTTTCCCTTTAATTAGGAGAATGGCTTCATTACTGGTATCTTTGCTACCATTCATTTTTCATTTTTCTCCCATTTATTATTGATTCAGGTGAGCTGCAAAATTTCTGCTAATCTAGTTACTTACAGTATTTGAAATGTACCACAGAATTTTATTGTGTATAATTAATGCTAACATAAGCTTCCAAAGGATCATCTAGAAGTTTTTTTTACCCAGTAATTAGCTATTCAAGCACATGATTATAAGATGTTCCAATCTATTGTGGATTACTACCCATTTTAAGGAGAAACCTTAATTAAAATTATTCACTTTCAATGGGTAGTTTAGTTCTGAGAATGTCCAGATGCCATTTGGCATAACTTTTTAATATACTTTATTGTAAGGGGACTCTAAATAGCAGGCTACTTTCCTTATTTGATTGAGACTAACTTCTAGAGAGGAACTTACCTATTTAAGCAGAGGCAGATATTTGAAATATCAAGATATCATGAAATATCTTGCTATAGCCATCCAGGCTAACAAAACCATCTTTTTCTTTTTTAAAAAATAATTTTTTTCTTATTAAAATATGCAAATATTTATAGCTAGGCATGGTGGTACAAGCCTGCAATTGCAGCTAATTGGGAGGCTGAGGCAGGAGAATCCCAAATGCAAGGCCAGGCTGGGAAATTTAGTGAGACCCTATCTCAAAGTAAATTTTAAAAAAACACTCACTTGGGGCTGGGGCTGTAGCTCAATGATAGAGTGCCTGCCTCACACATATGAGGCACTGGGTTTGATCCTCAGCACCACATAAAAATAAATAAATAAAGATATAACAACAACAACAAAAAATTACTCAGTTGTACAGTGCTTGCCTAGCATATGTGAAGCCCTGGGTTTGATCCCTACTGCCACAAGAAGGAAAAAAAAATTAAAAAAAGAAGCAAGTATTTATTATACATGATTTTTTTTTTTAAATACGAAGAAAATCAGTGGGATCCTACTACATACACAATTCTATGTCTTGTGCTTTCACAAAACACTATGAGCATTTTTCTGAGCATTACACATCCTTTATAACCATATGTACCATAATAATTTTGTTGAGTTGTTTAAGCCATTTCTCATATTTTGCTATTATAAATTCCATGATAATAAACATTTTCATAAAGGGGAGACACAGCAACTTCAGTGGAGCTCAAAGGAGATACCCAAGTTACAACTCTGTGTGCTCAGGTTTCAGAAAGCCTGAGGGCAAGAAGTGGCCTCTATACAATTCCCCTCAATGTGCTATTCACAGAGCCCATTTCCTATCCCCTCTTATCTGTCCAGGAGTTCTCAAGTCAGGAACTGGGTCAGGATTACTCAGAGCAGTATTCAATTAAGATTGGATGGTGCTGAGATAAAAAACAAAATGTGTAAATTTTCCCTTCCTGTTATAAAGCTTAGAATTTAAATGCTCTTACCTTGGGAGAAGGATCTTTTAATGCAAGTGTCATTAAGGACACAGATTGTGGGCTTCCAAGCTCAGGCGTATCAGGAACAAAGGCCGACCAGTAGCCATACAGAACTTTTTTTTCTATTGATTTTATAGTAGAAAGAAAACAAGCTAATGCTCCTTGGCGAACTTTGGCTTGGTATGACCTTTCATATCCAAAATAAGGAAGAAAAGTTTTTAAACAGCTTTTTAAAAATGCAACATGAAATGCTATTTATTCTAGACAATTAAAATCATACATTGAGAAATTAAACCTAAAATAACCCCTAAAGATGTTGCCATGATATTAAAAATTTTTTAAAGATATGATCAATACATGTTAAGACAATTTGCTTATCTAATAAGGTATTAAGGCTGACAAAAACCACAACTCGATAGAATATAAGAGGGCAACATTTTGATGTTAGGAAACTAGTATTAGACATGAAACACTGCAGAATATCTATCCACCCATTCAACAAATATCCCATGAATGACCCCATGTAGGAATCAGACATTATGCTGGGTTGGAGGACAAATGAAGCCCCTGCCCATGCTAAGTGGAGGTGATTGATGGAAAGCTCAAGAAATAATAACACATTTGAAATACACTAGGGCAGAGGTTAAGCCAAAGGGTCACACAGAAGGGGCTCTTAAACCAGAATGGGAGGGATTGAACAAGTTTTCCCAGAGAATATGATTTTTGAGCTTATTTTGAAGAAGAGTAGTTGTTAAAAATACAAAATGGCCAAAACAACAACAATAACAACAAACCCCACCAAGAACAACAGCAACAAAAAGAAAGAGAGAAAAGACTATAACAGGGAAAGGAACATACAAGGACAGATCAAGTGAGCAAAGCAAGTTCAGAGTAATGCAAAGCTCCACATAAATGAGAATTCTCAAGTTTCAATCCAGGTAGCAGTCAGGTTTTTAAGCAAAGCTATAAACTGACATGCAACTTAGGATATTAAAGTATAAAAATATAACAAAATACTACTACCTCATTTTACCCTGTAAGCCTCCTTCAGCATCAGAATAGTCTGACTCACTACTGCTGACTCTTTTCCAGCTGCAAGTGGTGAAGGGTGAGGAGACCCGCTCTTTTCCCAGAGTTCCACTTCCATCTACTGGCAAACCTTGGACGCCCAGGGAGGAGGAGCATCGAGTGTTCCTGTCATGCATGTTCACTCTGCTTGTGCCAGGGCCTGGGACTGCTTCCATCTCACTACTAGATTCTTCTTCCTCTTCCTCTCCTTGTGGGGTTTTCTTTGGCTTAATTTTGTATTTTTTCTTTTTATTCTGATTTTAGGAGCAAATGAAGACATACATATGATAATTATTTATAAATGACTTTTAACAAAATCACTGGTACTTCCTCATTTGAAAATGACTAAATATGTTCCCAACACATAGTTTAAAGAAACAAGAACTAAGAGAAGAAAAGAAAAAAGTAACACTTACTTAGTATCTATGCATCAGACACAATGCTGAGTACTCACACACACCATCCTGGACTTAAGAAATAAGGCATGAAGTCCATGGGTCACAGCAAAACATGTGGTTTGGGTTCAAATTCTACCTCTGTAACTCTGGGCAAAGCACTTAGCTTCTCTGAGCTTGACCTTCCTGATCTGTAAGTATGAGGCACCTACCTTGAACAGCATAGTGAAAGTGTTCAGCCTTCTCAATAGAGATTAAAGCCTATGGAAATGATGCTAGTGCCTATTTTCTCAGCTCTCCCAATTAAGATATGCAAGATGGTAATCCATTACATACACTGCTGGTACTAGGGCCCTGGGGCTACACAGAAGAAGATGCTAAATAAAAGCCAGTTTCTTTTTCCCTACTTTCTTCTTTCTGACATCTAAATATCTTTGAAACTTGTGCCTTCTTTCAAATTCTCAAAAGTCCTTATCTTTCAAAGTCCTTATCTGTAAGAGGGAAGGTTCTTATCATTTCTACCTCAGACTACTGGCTGTGGCCCAGACCCATACTCTTTTATTTACTACCATGGTGGTTCTCTTAAGATGCAAATTCAATCACATCATTCTGCTATTTAAGATTTTTTCCTCACCTACAAGATAAAAACCCAAATTCTTAGCATACTATACAAGACCCTTAGGATTTGCCTTTGCTGCACATTTATTTGCCCTCCCCTTTCCCTTCATGAACCCGAATCTCTACCCTACAGTTAACATATGAGCTATGCACACTCATTCCCTTATGTACCTTTGTTCCCTCAGAACATTCTTTCCTCTCTCTGTACTGTTATTCACTCCTGAATCTTAGTTTAGTCACTACAGCTTTTAAAAGATTCTTCCTCCTCTATTTGGACGGGGTATCCTGCATGTGTTTTGAATACTCTGCGAATATTTTGATGAAAGAAATCCTAATATTACTATGAAGTTTATATATGCATCTTTGCTTCCCCCTCCAAACTCCTAAGAATAGCCAGTGTTGGTATATTTCACAATGGTATATTAGCACAATGTCTGGTGTTTGGTCAATGCTGAATAGGTGAATGAATGAAAGAATTCTTAATCTTAAGCTTTTTTTTTTTTTTTTAATCAGGTATTACATTTTGGATGTAAAATCTTGGCCACATATCTGTATGCTATAGGTTCTCCAACAGAAACATGAAGGAGACAGCAGCTATCAGGGAAGGCTGAGAAATGTGGTAAATGTCAGAAGTGTAGAGACATTGTGCGGACCGGTAGGTGGTCTTCTAATGGTCTACAGAAGGGCTACCAATTTATGGCCCATTGTCTGTTTCTGTGAATATAGTTTTACTGGAACAGCCATGCCCTTCCATTTACACAGGGCATCTCTGGCTGCTTTTGCACTATGACCATGAAGTGGGTAGTTGCAACAAAGAGCTAAAATATTTACCAGTCAAGTCCTTAACAGAAAAAAATTTGTTGATCCTTGGTTTTGAGAAGTCTGGGGATGAGAATGCTTGATTTTGTATATAAAGTGAATGCTTATTTTTGTAAGGTGTTACACTGTCTGGACCGCTTAGAGCATAAGGTGCTTTAAATTGTACTTTCAATAGTCTGATAAATTTAAATTTACTTTGCTAAGTACCTTAAATTGAAATCAAGTTCAAGGTGGGCTTTTGAGGCAGTGGCAATGCAAATCATAGAAAATACACAAAGCAAACTATTCAAAACAATCTGCAACTTAAATTCAAATAGACATAAATGTACCACCGTTGGTCGAGAAGCAGTGGATTCTGACTGTTGTGGTTTGACAGGTGGTCGCCCATCATACTGAGGAAGTGGAGTGGGGTATAACACCGTGGGCATCTCTATGTTTAGTCCAGGAAGTCCATGAAACATGGCTTTCTAAAAAGTGATGAATAAGGAAAACACACACATAAATATAAATCTTACAGCAGAATTATGCAGCATGCTCTGGATCAGGACACAAACAGATTAAGATTTAAAGACTATTAAGTAATAAAAATGGGACAGAACTTTGACACCTTGAAAGTTTAAGGCTTAAAGAAGAGCTTAATCTCATCTATCCTAAAGCTGGATCTGGTTTGGCCACATCAGATTAGGTTTGATTTTTAGCATAACTTTATTTAATTATTTAATCCCATCATCTTATCCAGTTATTTTATCTATCCACTAATTTTTAAACTAATTTATCATTTTTATTTAGTCATCTGTCTCTAAATCTAGCTGTCTGTCTCTATTTGAGGGTAAAAGAAATGGCACATGGGAAAAGTTAAAATTTTAGTTTTAATAAAGCTATATTGTCACAGATAGCAATGACTTCAGGTGAGCACAAAAGCTCCTTTTTTTTTTTGTCTCGGCTGAGATAGCTGGATCCCCAGAGTGGTGAGTTCATGTCCTCCTGCTTGGCAGGTTTGGAAGCTAGTGACAGCAGTGTGCTGACACATGTCTTAATTAACCTGCCTTCTACATGACAGAGGATGCCAGCAGAAGCCCTGGCTCTTTTCTCAAGTACAATAAGGTAAAAGCTGGTTCAAGATAAGCTGTGATTAAATTATCTTCAGATTTAATCTCACAACTTGTTCCTTCCTAAGATTCAAAGATAATTTTTAAATTTTGGTATATTTATTTAAAAGAGGCTATTATCTATTCTTAATATTAACTATGCTTATATATATGAACATTGTATTCTGCTCTCTTAGAATATATGAGAACTTTTGATACCTTCAAAGTTAGCCTTTGAATGATGATATGAAACGGTACTCACATCTGGGGTTTAAATGGGAAAAACACGAATCATAATGAAGAAGTGCCTTACCTTTAGTACAGCTAGAAGAGCTCCAAGTTCATCAGTCTGTGTTAGTTTCATTTTTCCACCATTTAGAAGTGACTGAATGCCTTTTAATGCATTTTGTAACAACTAGGGGGACAAAGAGAGACTTAGTTAGAAGGCAGAATAAATTTTGGTTGTCCAGGGATCTACTCTTCAGCATCACTTAAGATGGAAGAGGAAAATTCTCTAGATGATGAAAAAACCATTTGAAACACACAAAGCAGAGGTTAAGATCCAGAAAAATGACCTGATAAATCACTTTGAGTTATTTTCTAGAAGAGTACTCTTGAGAAGTCTTATACTACAGACTTATAAACCAGCATATATAAATAGTGGACAAGGAAAATAAAAAGGAAGAGATTTAGTGGGAAGACTGTGATAAGAAATGAAAAAGTAATAGTAGAGATCAAAAGCAGGGAAGTTCTCCAATATGGCAACCTCAGTAGCTCTTAAAGTCAAAGGTGTAAATGTAGAAGCAGATGGTAAATGATAAAAATGTAATCTCTAAAGGCAAATTCTGGATCAAGATTGATTTCTTGATTCAGTAATCTCACTTCTAGGACTCCATCCTTACTCCCTATAGGGGAGGATGTGAACTGTAGCCCTGTTTGAAATAGTGGAAAAACTTTTAAAAAGCAATTTTTATCCAATTTGATGATCATGAGAATGATTACCTAAGAAGCTAACCTCCTAAATGTGAAACTCAGCAACAACAGTTGCAGGTACTGTGTCAAGCACTTTAAAAGCTCTATTTTTATTTATATTTTACATGAACCCTACAATGTAGTTACATTAGTACCATTTCAGCAAGGAACATGTAGGCTCTAACCAGTTAAGTAATTTGCCCAAGATCTCCTAGCTACAGAAATAAGAAAGCATGAAGTACATTAAGAGGTACTGAAAAAACGTACCACAGATATTAAGATTAAAAAAAAAATACAGAAAGTTTCAAAACAGCATATTAAACATGATTCTATTTTAAAAAGATAAACATACTCATTCACATAGAGAAAAAAAATCTAAAAGCACAGATCATCTCCAGTGATTATATCTGAGTAGGGGACTATAAGAAACTTTTACTATCCTGGATCTGTAATGTATGAATATGTCAACCTGAATTTAAAACATGTTAAGAAACTACCATATTTGCATATAATTCTTTTAAGAAGAAATAAAATAGTACAGATATTATTGAAGTCTACTTTCTTCCCTTTCATCTTAAACATCAGGTATTAGTCTGAAACTAGACTGTTTTTATACTCAGGAGGAAAAAGAATGAGAAGAGCTTTCTTTTAAAACCTAAAATGCCAAACAAAACAAATAAAAAAGGTTTCTTGTAATTTAAACCCAAAGATATGGTTCAGTCTTTTTGGCTTACAAACGTTCTATGTAGATATATATATACATATATATAGACAAAACTAACATAGCAGCCAAAATTAAACTTGTTGGTAACAGCCTCAGTTCAACTCTTGCTTCTAGACATATCTACATCAATTTGTAAGATCAGCAATAGTCCTACCTACCATGCAAAATGTTATGTCATCCATATCTGATGATTTTGGAGACTGTAAAGTGGTCAAGAAAGCTTGGAAGCAAATATTTTGGTAGGGCTCCTCCAGGTATGGCTGTCCTGGCACACTAAAACACATATAGAGAAAACAACTCAGGCTGTGTCCTTTGAAATGGTGCCTTCAAAAGAATAATAGCAGTAATAAAAACTAATAGAGTTGTAATACACCCCTGAATGTGACTATACTTAGAAAAACTGTGCACTTTGGCGGTTAGTTACTGCTGTAGCACAGGCACAGTCTCCAGTAAATATAAAGAAGGATGAATGGTTTCCATAGGGAAAAATTACAGAAATTTGTAGTGGAAGAAGTATGGACAAAGAGAAATTTTGAGTTCTGCTTTTCATTTCTAAGAGAAAAATAATGTAAAGAGGTTCTGTAGAGTTAGAATCACATGATTGAACCTGTATTTTTAGCCACCATACACCACTGTGCTACCTAGATACAAATTCAAGTTTGTGCTGTTCATTTTCTACTGCATATTGTAGACTAATTACATCTTCTTAAGAGAGAAGAAACCAACCTTGACAGATAAATCTCACCAGAGCTTAAACTGGTACGACTATACCCTTCTAAAAGACAATATGACTAGAATTCATACCAATAGAAAACAAAACATTGACTATCACTTTTAGCATATATATTTTTTCTTCATTATGAACTTTATTTGATTAAAATCACATCATATAATGACCTTATTAAATAACCTGGGAAATGCAAATTGAGATATTTTTTCTAAGTTGCTCTTGTTTCAGACAGATGAAACAATCTATAAAAGGGCCCGAGAGATACTATCTTCTAACTACTGGGAAAACTGCCTGTATCCACATACCTGAGACATAAGTTTGCCATGCAATGCACTGCAGCTCTCCTGACTTCAGGGTCAGACTGAGCCAAGTCACTCAATGTTGTTAAGAGGCCGGTCTTGCCTAGCAAGTCTGGAAGGTACTACAATAAAATAACAGTCAATGTTGGTTTAGGAAAAGCTTCCAGGAAAATATTACAATTTAGACAGATTTTATTTTTTTAACTAAAGGGCAGTTAAATGTCAAAAGACTAGCTATTAAAAAAAAAAAAAGACTAGCTGTTAGGTAAATCTTTCAGATGGGTGTAGTAAATATGCCAAAAAATGGCAGAAGGATCATTACTAGGTAGTTGCTAAAGCTTTTTAGACACGGCTGTGCAGATGATGGGTAATGATAATAATGATAGTTAACAGTTAAGAGTGCCAAGTATTTACAAGGCTAAGATTGTAAATCAAAGCTACATGTCCAATTAATGGCAGGATAAAAACCTAAAGATAGGTCTGTTGACTCCAAAGCCTCTGCTCCTCATCTTTCAAAAAAAAAAAAAAAAAAAAAAAAAAATCAGGACACAGTTAAAATTACCTTTTGACATTTTGAGCCATTACAGTAAACCAGAGCTGCCAGGGCTTGAAGGATTTCCATGTGTGTCCAGGAACTACACTGATGAATAGCTGAAATAGTATATCCCATCAGGAAATCCAAGTTCTGTTCATCAACAATCACCTACCGAGAGAGGAAAAAATACAGATGATCTAACTTCTTAAAAATGTTTTTGTCTTTTTAGAGATTATCTATGCTCACCTGAATCAAGTTGTGCAAGGAGTATATATCCACCTTTTTGGGGTCGAAAGGATCACCTCTAAATCTTTGAAAGTTTGATCAGGTTAGAGGCCTTTGACATGTCCCAGGGTCTCGTTCACTTCTCCCTTTAGTCCCTCCACTCAAAGTAAAACCTTGTAACTTTCCCTTGAACTAACTATACACTGATAGCTGTAAATATTAACCGACAGGACTTAAAACACTGAATTGTCTTAATTCAATTAAACTACCTTATATATAATAATCACTCAATATATGGTGAATAAATATGCCTGCTAACTACCTACTGTGTTGCTAGCATGGTGTAGGGAATACAATGAGAAATGGCACATCTCTGTCCCCCCTTATTTTATAATCTTCTTGGCAAAGATCAGGCTAATCCAACTATCAATTTATGGACATGACAGGACAAATAGTCATCAAATGCCAGAAAGCTGGTTATGGACTATAGGTGTCACAAGTACACCCCTGAGACTAGTCAATATTTGGAAGCCACCTCCCATCAGTTTGAAACATTCTAAACTTGAAAACAGCCTATCTCATGTAGTAGAAACTGTTGGCTACCTATCGGCATCCATGTTCTCCTTCCCTCATGGCAGAGTTCTGATTCTACTCAAATGCCCATTTCTCTCACATAAAACCTCTAGCAAATCCTAATTAGTTTAGTAGTTCTCAACCAGAGGCAATCTTGACCACCAGGGAACATCTGGCACAATGTTTGTAGACATATTTGATTGTTACAATTAAAAAGGTGCTATTGACATCAAATGAGTAGACGTGATGATTGCTGCTAAACATATCCTACAATGCACAGGACAGCTTCCATAATAGAGAATTATTTAATTCAAAACATCAATAGTTTAAAAAAAAAAATCAATAGTGTCGAGGGTCAGAAACCCTGAAGTAAGTCCACTGTGGCTGCATAGTGTAATCATTTAGGAAGCTTACGCCCTCTAGGTGATGCTAATGTGCAGTCAAGGTTGAAATCATTGTTTTAAGCACTCATGGTAATTCCATTCCCTTTTTCAGAGACTGGTTTAGAGAGATGTTTATATGACTTAAGTCTCCAATGAGATATCAGGAGAGTCTACTGGAGAATTTATGGGACAAATTTCCTCATTTGTAAATAAAAGAGACACAAAATTAACAGGGATAATCTGGTTTCTGTGGAATGTTATTTAGTTATTTTGCATAGGATGCCTAGAATGGAGGCAGCCATCTTATGACTATCAGAGAGGCTGAGTATAACACACACTAAGGACTGCAGAATGGAAAAATGCTAGTAAATCTCTTATTAATAAGGGACTCTAGAGCTGCTTCCTTTGGGACTTGAAGTGTGGCATTAATTGTTTCTTCTTTTTTATTGTTTTGGTACTTAGGATTGACTTTTCTGTTTTTTGAACCCAAAGCATCCTAGTAGACATATGCTAATTGATAACGCTTTTCACTCTCAATTACATTCATGTACTCATGTGTAACAGTCTTAATCCTAAAAATCAAAGTGGGTTTATCTAGCAAGTTGGAAAAGGTTCTAGAAATAGGTAGGGAGCTGCAGTTTAGATCTTGATATAAATAACTGGTGTCTTTTTATCCTGGTGTACCCTCTTCCCCAAGCTACTTCTTAGGTTTTATGTACATAAAAAATAAATTAAAAAAATGATAGTTTGAGGAAAGAGAAAAAATATTGGTAGGAAAGAATTCTGGGATCATTTCAATCCTGAGATGTATCTTGGTCAACCGTACATACCACGAAAAAAAAAAAAAAGTCTAAGGTCAGGAGGCCTGGTTGACACAGTGGTTACTGAATCAACAGGAATACTTCTAATATGCTTCTAATAGACAAACTTCTAGAATTGTGCAGAATAATGTTCTTCTGGTCAGAGTTATGTTTGTTTTAGTATCATTTTCATTTTTTTGGTACTGGGTATTGAAACCAGGGGTGCTTTCCACTAAGCTACATCCCCGATGTTTTTACTTTTACTTTTTTTTTTTTTTAGGTGGTGCTGGGAATTGAACCCAGGGCCTTGTGCATGTGAGGCAAGCACTCACTCTACTAACTAAGCTATATTCCCAGTCCCCAGTATTTTTACTTTTTATTTTAAGATAGGGTATCATTAAGTTGCTGAGGATCTCCCTAAGTAGCTGGAGCTGGCCTCAAACTGGTGATCCTCCTGCCTTAGCCTCCCAAGTTGCAGGGATAACAGATGTGCACCACCATGCCTCGCTTGTTTTAATATCATACTGAGGCATTTGCTTTTCCTAGTGTCTCAAAAGATTAGTTTATCATACCTACTATGGATATAGTATTTCAAAAGCATTTGCTTATTCTCAAAGTTCATGATCTGAATCCTAAAGTTACATACATGATTACCTGTAATCTGTTTAGTAAATGGTGGATCAGCTGAGACACTTTGCTGACAAGATGATTCTGATTAAGAGGCACCAGTCGGCAAGCTTGGACAAGAAGAGCACTGACATCCTACCAAGAAAAAAACAATCAAACAAAAAAACCACACAAAGGTAACATTCCCATTAATCAAGTGAAAGCCACCCCCATCCCCGCACCAAACACAGGAAAATGGGAGAATTAAACTGAATGTTCATACTGAAGAATGGGAAAAGATGACATCTGAATGAAATGTGAGGCAGAAAAAGATGAAATAACAGCACAAAAATAGGGTGTGCTAAAAAAGAAAAAAGTATAAATATCATTTTTGTCAAACTAAAGACTCCAGAGTCTCTACCATGTATAGACAATAGAATTAAATAACCAAAGAAAGGCTTCCAGCATATAAAAGCACATAATGAAGTTAAATATATCAAAAAATGAAGCCAACTAGATTTTCAATGTCATTAGGAAAATTGGAAACGACACATAAATTTTACGTAAAATTGGGGAATTATTAAAAAAAGAAGAAACTATTTGCAAATCATATCATTCTTTATTGGTGTTTACTGAATATAAAGGCTCTGAGCACCTACTATGTGCCAGGTAGTAGGCTAGGTCCTTGGGCTCCAAAAGTGAAGCAAACATTTTTCTGAACCTCAAAGAGCTCAGAGTCTAGTGAGGGAGACAGAAAATACACAAATAATTAAATTAAGTGCTGAAAGAATTAAGTACAAACATTGTGGGAAAATAGTGATTATTCAGTATTGTGTACAGTTATATAGAATCTGGAATGAATTGAAGGATGAATAGAATTTTTGCAAACAGATCAGCTATCAAAAACACACTTCAAGAAAAAAAAAATGGAACTGTGTAAAGACTTGGGAGACGCAAAACACCAGCAGCAAGAATAGTACCTTTGAAATGCAGACAAGACACAGAAGGAGGAGTGATAGGAGAGAAAACTGGAAAAGCACATATTTTTGCAAAAATATCAAAGCATACAAATAAATCAAAAGTCTTCCTGACTTCTTCTTAATCCCACTCACACTATTATCTTGCTGTGAACACTTCTGGATTTTTTCTGCATATATAAACATATGCATATTTTAAAATTCTTCTCCTTTCTTGAACCCCATATTGACTTGCATACATTGTTGGGCAATTTTGCTTCAACCATTTACCATATGTATAGATATTCCCAGATCAGGTTTTCATTTTTATAGGCAGTTTTTTTTTTTTTTTAAACCAAAGGAAAAAATCACTCTGGCAGCACAGCAAAAGGGTTGGACCAGAGGAAGGCATTCAGTTTAGAAGAAGACCAGTGCAATAGTCCAAGCTAGAGTCATCTTGCCAAAGGCACTAGCAATGGGAACAAAGAGAATGGTATGGACTGAGAAACATGTTTGAAAGAGATTCTGAAGAATCTGGATTGGACAGGCTCCAAGTCAAAGGAAAGGGAAAAGAACAAGGGTTTGTGTTTTGCATGTCCTGGAGGATGGGATGGATTGGGGATGAAAGTGTGTAGAGGTAACATTCATTTTTAAAAACTGTCAAGCTTGAGTTGCCTGTGAGCATGAGAAGGCTGTGGCTCAAGTGTTTAGAAAATTATTAAGTGATATCCAAGACTTGGTGTGTATAAAAAAGATTTCTCGGATAGCGAAAAGAACTTCTAAAGAGGAGGCAGAGGGGGTAGAGGAAGAACGGAAAATACAGGGACTTTGTTACAGACTGAGGCTCCACTTCTAGCTGTTGTTTGCCAACAACGTGATAATGGATCTTTGTGAACTTCAATGTTTCCATCGGCAAAAAAAAAAAAAAAAAAAAACCGACCTAATAATTATGCACACTTTAAGATTCCTGGAATGGTTCATGGTAAAGTACACATTAAATAAACAGTAGTTATGAATTTAATTGACAAAAGCGTTTGGGATGCATAGAATGAAAGTGGAGCGTGAGAATGGAAAGGTGGTGCCAGATGCGAGGTGTTAGAGCAGAAATCATCAAACTGGGCTTTGAAAGACGAGAGTTTGCCAACCACTGCAGAATCTTTCAGACGGAGGACAGCAGAGAATATGCCAGGATCGGAGGGAGCAAGCCAGCCTGGATTTAAGTCATCGGGGCGCTGGGTGAGAACAGCCAGGAGAGGCAGGCTGGAGTTACCAGCTGGGTTCCCTGAGGGTGGGGCCGTGGCAACAGCGCGGCTCCCGGTCTCCCACAGGCGAGGCGCCTACCTCTGCGGCCACGCCGCCGCCCTCGCTGTAGTTCTCGGAAATGAGCTGGTCAAAGAGCAGGTGGATCTCGGTGCGGGCGGAGCTGCTGTCATCCGGGCGCAGGGCGCGGAGCCTGGCCGACAACCGGCGGAACCCATTGTCCTGCTCAGGGGGCGGCTCCCGCGGAGCCTCTCGTAGCTGCCCGCACGACGGCGAGCCGGCAACTTGCACCGCCGCCATCTTCCCTATGTAAGGCCCCTGGAAAATACTTCCGGGGCATTCCCGGGTTCTGCAATCTAGTTCCGGAATGCCTAATATGGACCAGAAAGGCAGGCCAACGAAGAGGTTTCCATGACTGCTGTACCCTTCAGCCGGGTACCCTGCAGGTGCTCTCTGAAATCAGCTTAAAAATATTTCGCCCGCCCACCTCTTCTGAGCGCAGGCTGAAAAGTGGAGTCTCTATTTGTCCTCTCAGAAAGTTTGTTTTTGGGCAGGGCTGACAGTCCTGTTGAGTACTAGAGTTTCAGATTAGGGCTGCAGTTGGAGAAGGGTTGCAGTAAATGGCAGTGGCGGAAACTGCTGGTTCTCAGAAGTCCTTCTACTCCTCTTACAGCGTGTTAGAACCCCTGATTTTTCCCCAAGCACAAATGCACCCTGACTAAAGATTACATTACCCAGTATTCCTTGCAATTGATTCCATCTATGTGATTAAAATCTGGCCAATAAAATATAGGGCAGCTTTCCAGTACTTTGGTGACAGCTGACTGTTTCTTTGTTCCCTTTGCTTCTCTTCTGACAGTGAGTGTTCTTAGAGCCACCTCTCACCACTAGGAAAGTAATTTTGAAGTTTAAATTGAACTATAGAAAATATAACCTGCCTGGGGGTGACCTAGTTGGCATTGGAGACCCCAAGATTTTCTGAAAGCTTGAAGGCGAGAATGGGAAGTAAAATAGCCATTTAAACAATGATCAGTTTTCAGTCACCCAGGAGGTGAAGACTGGACATTCACATTTGGGTAGACTGAGAAAAGCATCTTTAGGACTTTTGAGTTCTACAAATCTTCACCTCTGGCTCCTGGAAAAATCTTGAAGTCATCTGAATATACATATTTTATCCTCAGAATAAAACACTGGTCATCATTGAAAATTGTGAATGTGCTTTTTAGCAGAGCTAGTTCTTTGAAGAATTTGAGCTTCTTTGGGGAAAAATGTTTATTTTTTTGTTTGGATTTAGATTCCATTATGCTTGTATATTATTGTTCATTCTTGGAATAAGTGTACATAAGTGTTATATATGTGCATGTATGCATGTGTATTTGTGATACTGTTCAAGCATTTTCTCAGAGACGATCAAAAGCTGAAACTAGTCTCTAGATGTTTTAGTTGGGACTCCCTCAAAATAGAGCCTCAGACAAGATTGGTATGTGAGTCATCTATTCAGGAATAAACAGGGAAGGAAGGAGAATCAATACAAATATATGCTATTGAGTTGGGCATTGCAAGAAGTTTCTTATCACTCAATCCTTGGAGTTTTTTGTTTTTAGTTGTAGATGGACACAATATCTTATTTATTTATATGTGGTGCTGAGAATTGAACCCAGGGTCTCACACCTTCGAGGCAAGTGCTCTACCACTGAGCTACAGCCCCAGCCCAATCCTCTGGAATTTCTGAGAAATCTTATGGAATGCTCTCAGAACTCCCTCCTGAGGAATGGAGGACAGAAGCATATATCTGCCAGCTTTTGACCTCTATTGTCAATTATCACCTGGCTAGGCATTAGCTCTGTAGTTAACATGCATCGATGTGCAATGTTTCCTAGAGGAGTCTCCTGTTGCGTAGTTAAAGCAGCCCTGAGGCAAAACTGAGATGGTTTGGGATATAGAGTATATGTTTGAGGCAAGGTTCTGACAAGTTATATTTGACAACCACTACTAAATAGTTTACTGAGGTAAACCATTGCTGTAAGTATGGTTCTAAGCGTTTAAGACCAAAAGTATTTGAAGTAGTGCTTAAGAGATGTTCAACACCCTAGGATAGAAGGATGTAAGGCCTGGTCCTTACCATACTGGAGTTGGTGTGAAGAGACTGGGAATAATCTGGGTTTAGAGGGGTTTGTAGTAGGCTACAACATAGATTACCCATATATAGTGTTATTTAATATTGAATGACCCAGATATTGTAAAGTATACCAATGTCAATCTGTTGAGTCATGATAGATTATATCCTTGTGGATAGAAATAAATATTCCTATTTCATGGTGATCAGCAACTGAAGGAAAAATTTATCAAGCTCTCAGGGAAACTTTTGAAAGCCCATTTCATTGACTTGAGGTTAGACAGTAGCACCCCAACACCCACCTCCAACTCTGAGACTATGAAAACTAACAGTCTCTCCCAAGAAAATTTCCTCACACATCTTTGATCCTTGGTACTCTCAACATTTAAATAGTCTTAGAGTGATTGCGGAGCTGTAAGGAGTGTTAAACAAGTTTATAGCCATTTCCCTTTTAACTTCTTCATTGGCTGATCTGGAACCTTATTCTGGAATTGCATTTCTTTCACATTTGCAACGTAAATCAAGCTTGCATACCCCCACTCTAGTTCACATCCTTGTATATTTTTTATTTATGATAATCTGTAGTTATTGTTTTTGTTTGTTTGTTTATTTACATGTTATCTGTTTCCTCTTCTAGAATGTGAGTTTCATGAAGGCACAAATCTTGTCTGTGTCATTGACCATTGTATATTCAGTGCTAGCAAGCACATGGATGCAGTAGGCATACACCTATACTTGTTGATAAAATGAGTAAATTCACTGTTTTAATTGTTTATCCAGGGCCCTCTAGTTTTCATCTATTGGGTGATGGCACTTTTTATGAAAATGCTTTGTAAAGTATGAATTTTTATAAATTTTGCATTCAAATGATGAGATATTATTATTTTCTCTCTTTATAGTGAATGAAATAATGCTAGAAAGCTTAAATAGTTTGTCAAGTTCCACATTAACAGCATTGGTCAAAATCAGACTTTAACCTAGGCCAGCTAAGTCTTAGGTCTGTGATTATGAAGAACATAAACAAGAAATTATTAGACATTTTTACCTGCCATATTTTTTGTAATGGGGGGAAAAACAGAAATGAGGGGCTGACTTTCAGTATCCAGATTAAAACTAGAAACTAGAGACTGGGAAGGAGAATTGGCCTTGTGTCTTGTTCTAGATTCTTGTAAAATTAAGGGTCAACAGCCCATCTATTTGGTAAAAATAATAATAGTAATAGTAGTAAACATTTATTGAATATAGTTATCTCTTGGAGTTCATGATTCATTGGTTCTAGGACTCCCCTGAGGATATCAAAATCTGAGAAGGCTCAAGTCCCTTATATAAAATGGCATAGTATTTGCATATCACCTGCAGACATCTTACCATGTAGTTTAAGTCATTTATAGATTACTCATAATATCTATTGCAATGTAAATGTCATGTAAATAGTTGTTATACTATATTGTTTAAAGAATAATGAGAAGAAAAAAAGGTCTGCACATTTGGTGGCAGGCACAATTTTTTTTTGTTCCACATATTTTCATCCTGCAGCTGGTTGAATCTATGGATTCAGAACCTGTTTGGATATGGGGAACCAACTGTTGGGACCACTATGTCAGGCACTATGCCAAGCACTGTACAAGAACTAAACTCTTTGTAGGTCTATGATGTCTATACTATTGTACAAATGAGGAAACTGAAGCACAAAAATGTCAGGATATTTGCTGAAGGCCACACAGCTGCATGTGTGCCTTGGTTTGAAATTCAGAGTAGATGGTTCTAATTACTGTGTTATAATGCCTATCCCTCAGAGTTTGACACAGGATAAAAGTGTAGGCCCCAACACCTATTTTATGAAATTATGTAATTAATTTTATGCAAATTACTAAATTTACCCAAACTCTTTTCTTACTTATGAAATGGTCATGATAAGTATAGTCAAAAGATTGTTGTAAGAATAACTTAGAAGTTGGGCATAGTAGCATATGCTTGTAAGGAGGCTGAGGCAGGAGGATCTCGAGTTCAAAACCAGCCTTAGCAATGGTAAGGTGCTAAGCAACTCAGTGAGATCCTGTCTCTAAATAAAATATAAAATAGGGCTGGGGATGTGGCTCAGTGGTTGAGTGCCCCTTAGTTCAATCCCTGGCATTTCCCCCCTCCCCACAAAAAGAATAACTTAGATAATGCTTGCGAAGAATTTAACATATTCCTTGTTGCATTGAAAATATTCAACAAATGTCATGTATCTTCCTCCTCACCTTCCTTATCTTCACTGCCACCTCTCACCAAATAACTCAAGTAGTGTGGATGCTTTTAAAGTGATTATTTATTGAAACAAACACCTCCTCTTCCCTTCCTCCATACTACTTGTAGTCTCCATCCACAGGTCCTGATTTTCATTTCTCTTTCCAGTCAAGAATCTCCAGACAGTCCCATCATTGCAGGCAGAAACTACAGGAAGAGATGAGCAGTTATTAGAGAAGATGGCCCTTAAGATAACTCTTTGAGAAATGGACAAAAAATTTATATGTGAGACCTACTGTTTGGGGGACCTGGATCCACAGAATACAATTCTGAAAATCCATAGCAGCTGCAAGTGGCGAGCAAGGTCCTGAGCATTCCAAGGATTGCAGGTGGATTGGGCAAGTAATATGTTTTGAATACAAATGGTTTGTTTTAAAAATGTATACTGATTCTATTGTGTTTAGTACAACTTAATTTATAATCAAAACTGAATCATGGTGGCTTTTTACTATGCTTTCTTCAATTAATAGCTACTGAAAATAAAGAAACTACCACATGTATTCCTGAAATATCTTTTATAGGAGAGGGATGCTTATAGGTCAACAAGACAATATCTATCAAATGGTCAATAATTATACTTGGTCAATAATTATGCTTCTTAGAATTTACCCCAAGAGAATTAATACAGGCATGTTTATTTTACTATTCATTATAGTCATATTAATATTATAAAAATAAGAGCTATCTTAGAGGTTACCAAGTACATGAGCATATATGATGGGCTTAATGCCAGTAGAGATGATGGAATGGAAGACTCACTTTTAATACTAAAATTTTTCACTAGTGATTTTTAAGTCAAATAATTGAGAAATTGAAATAGGTACAAGATTCTCATTTTAAAATACATATTATATATTTATGTTTAAAATATGCATCATCATGTTAAGCAGACATTTTGGGGGGTTGTGGGATTATGGGTTATTTT